GGCAGCCAGAGAAACTTTGAGATATAGCCATTTCATCAATTATCTCCAGCTGGGAGGATTTAGTGCTTTTTAAATAGGGCCACAATATCAAGTTCATCTACACTATTAGTGAGGTCTTTATCACTGCCAAGTTCAGAAAGTGTTAAAGCATTTAAAGTGTTTTCTGCTTTTGTATGTTGGGTGCAGTTCATTTTCTTGCTTTGCAGAGCTTGAGTTTCATCCTTAAGAGAACCACCACTAAAAATCAAGTCCAGGCAGAATTATGGAATCAGTATGTCTTAGGTCAAGCAAAGAGTTTGCATTTACTGATTCCGCCTATGTTCAAAGTCCTATGCTAGAAACTATATGAACGTTCAAAATGATAGAAGTCTTAAGTGATGGTTAGTGCTGTTCATCAAAGACCTGCACTCTTCCCAGGTATACAGTAGTGTAGCATTTCTCCACCCCTGGCTGTTAGGTGTGGCAAAATAATTTCCTTTAGAAGAGCATGATGTGCAGAGACTCAGGAGGCTGAAGTAGAAGCATCATAAGTTCAAGGCCAGACTCAGCTATTTAGCAAAGCCTTAAGCAACTTAGAGAGACCCTGTCTCAAAATTTAAAAAAAAAAAAAAAAAAAAAAAAAAAAAAGGTCTTGGGATGTGGCTCAGTAGTAAAGTGCCTCTGAGTTCAATTCCCTGGTGCCAAAAAATTAAAATTAAAAAAATAAAAACTTGCTTCATAGATGAGAAGTCAGTTTCAGGTAAAGTTTTAAGAGCTAGTGTATGTTTTACAGTGTTCTTTCCCTTGCCTGTGCTGGTCAGCAATGATACAAATAATAGCTGTTCTATCAGTTGGGGTCCCAAAGTAAGGCAAAGTGGAAAAGAGTCCTAACCAGTCCAGGATACATATGGCATAAGTGATTTTAAAAGCAATTTTTTTGTTTAATTTTGAGTTGGGGGAATTACATGAGTTATGAATGAGACAGACATTATTACCCTATATACATGCATGATTATACTACTAGAGTTACTCTGTACCATGTTCAGCCAAAGGAATGAGAAGTTGTGCTCCATTTGTATATAATATGTCAAAATGCATTCTACTGTCATGTATAACTAATTAGAACAAATCAAATCAAATAAAAGACACAACTGACCCTTGACAGACTTAAAATCTTTTTTTAAGGTATTTTAAAATACCTGAAAAAACACACCAAAAAAAAATGGAAGAAGCAAAATATAAATGAAAATTTTAAATTATGTAAACAGACAAAAAAGGAATTACAAAATCACTAAAAAAAAGAATAGCTGTCATAGGGGTTAAGCGTGGGGGAAATTTCCACTTGAGTTACACAGGAGGCTTGGGGAACAAGCAGGACAGAGAGATGGTGTGGAAAAAGGTGCAGAGGAGGATAGAAATGCCATGATGAGCATGTTTGATTTGTTTAGTGGAATAAAGAACAAAGAGCTAAAATGCTTGAGAAGGGGAGGAAAGGTCAGCCGGGAAGAGGGTGCAAAAACCAGGCAAGTGAGTTTAGGCACTGATATTAGTTCATTCATTCCTCACTCATTCATTCTTTCATGCATCCAGCACCTGCAAGGAGCGAGCAACTCGGCTAGCCAAAGGCTCAGGAACAAGATGAATGAGTTATGATCACTAGTCTTAGATCTCATCATTTTGTAGGATTGGTAGAAACAAATAATTCTCATATACTCTAGTGTTTCCTAATAGTCATTGTGCTACCAGAAATGCAAAGACAAAAAAAAAAAAGAGAGAGAGAGAGATTTTGCATGTAGGGAAGAGTATAAATGAGGAAAAGATGAAAGAGTTTGGCAAGGCTTTAAAACAAAACATGACATTTGGGCAGGTTCTTCAAGGAAGATTATTGATCATGCAAGTAAGGGCAGGAAAGGCATTTCAGTCAGGGAGAAGAGAATTGATTCATTATTCATTGGTTCAACTTGTTTTGTATAGATGTTTTCTTAAAGCATTCTGTGTGTTTGTCTCTCTACAAAGCTAATAAGCATTTGTTTATGAAACACATACTTATTCCAGGTATTGTACTAGGCTCAGGATATAAAGAGAGGCAAAGACAGCCTCCCTTATGTCACATTCTAGCTAGGGACACATGAGGCTGGGAATCAAACAAACACTTGCAGTAAAGGGACACAGGCTGGAGAGGGAGACACTCAGAGAGGGGTACATGCAATTGAGACCTAAAGTGTAAAAGAGTTACCTACATGAAGAGGACGGGGAGTACGATTCCAGGGAGAGGGACCAAAAGGTGGGAAGACTTGGGAGTGAGAGGGTACAGAAGTTGGAAGAAGTACCATGCAGCTGAAGCACAGAGGCCGAGTGGAGGGACATACAGCCAGGGAAACGGCAGGAGCCAACTTGAGAAATTTGGATTTTATCCTGAAATGTGTAGAAAGCTTTTGAAATGCTTTTGAGAAGAAGGCAAAATAAACTACACCTTCTAGAAGGTAACTTATGGCAGACAAGAGCATGGAAAAGAGGCAGGATCAGAGGCAGAGAGAGAGATTTTTATAAGAGCCCAGAAGAAAAACATTGGATCCTTTACCAGGTTAGCAACAGAGATAGAAAGTCTTGTGAGCATTTGAGAATTATCCCAGGTAATGATGTAATCTGGCTTTAGACTATGTATGAAAAAAAAAAAAGAGAAAAAAGCCAGGCTCACTGTGAGGCTGTAGGTTTCTAGTCTGGCAAATGGCTACTTAGGGGTATCAGTCCGTAAGAAAGGGGACAGGGGATTTGCAAAACCACTATGAATTTTAAAAAAGACTCAAATATGTAGAGAACCAGATTTTACTCAACCGAGGGAGAAATGCAGTTCTGCCTGGAGAGAGGTGAGACTGAAATTTGGTTTGAGATTGCAAATGCCTTTCTATGTCAGTGCTAAGGCAGCTGATTGAAAAGCAGAACATGCCAGATTCTGAGAAGAACATTGAAATGATCTGATTTCTTGTAGTTCGGTAACTGTGGAGACACTGAGGATGGAAACTTGAAAGAGAAAGTGGCTGATGATAAACAGGAGATTATTTCAATTGTCCAGGCAACCAATAATGAGGACATGAACTAAAGCCACCATTATGGGATTCAAGAGAAAAGAACAGAATGAAGAGAAGATAATCAACCGATGTTGATGGTAATCACATGTGATGGAGTGGGGGGACCAGGGATTTTAAAGATGAGCCACGTGTTCCGTTCAGGAAGACTGGGGGAGGGAGAATTGCATCAATGGAGGGATTGATAGAATGGCCAAATTTGATTTGGACATATTGAGTGCCACATACCTGGGGAACTAGAATCTACTTCACAAGGTTTGCTCTAACTATATGTCTGGAGTTTAGGAGGAAGAATAGAAACCGGAGATATGCTAATAGGAGTTGTCAGCAGCTATTAGGGCAAAGGAAATAGATATTAGTCACCCATAAAGGACATTTAGAAGGACAAGAAAAGGAGGAAATCTACCTAAGATGTTGATGGATAGAGGTAAGAAATTATTGCTCTAGTTTCTGGAGCTGAGACACACTCAAATAAAGATACTTTAGGATGCTTCTTAACATAGACCTGTATGTTAGAAGATTCAAAAAGTTGGGAGGAGTAAAACAACAAAAAACAACAACAACAAAAAAGAAACGAGATTCAAAAAGTGAAACATTTGTGAAAGGGAGCCCAACTTGAGAATTGTAATAGCATATCAACGCCCCCCCACAGCAGATTTTAGCATCAATCACAAATAACAATAAGTAAGGGTATGAATGAAGATAGGCCTTTGACATAGAGAATAATGAAATAATGAAAATACATGTCAAATTAAGTTTCCTTTTTACATAAAAACTTTTCCCCCAACAAATTAAACTATATGGACTGAGAAGAAAAACATTGAGGGGAAAAAAAAATAAAAATAACTGTTCCATCACTGGTAGAGTAAAGGAACAAAAGTAACTATTATTAGTTGGGCAAATGGGCCAGACAAAATAGATAAAGAACAAAATACATAAAACTGCTATTTTAGCACCTGTCATAAGGCATCAATTTAAAGGTGACAGCATCAGTGCTGGGCTCCAAACAAGGTCGGTAAAAGATGGCAAGTGCCTGAGCAGAGGGACTCCACCTACCAGGCATAATACTCATCCCATTGCTATTTGGAGACTCTGGAGATGGCTCTAGTGTTTTTGTTTCAGCACTAGCTCACTTGTGTATGACATGATGACATGTCACAGCACACCAAGTGTCAGTGTAAAATATTAGTTTTGAATTTACCAACGCATCTCATTAAAATGAAAAATACACTGTAAAATTTCTGAAGGACCTAAACTTCCATCTGGTTTGCTCATAATTCAGGAAAAGCCATAAACAGAAAGATATTTCTCTATATCTGTAGCCAGCTCCCCATCGAAGTACTGAATAGTGGAATGAGTCATTTCCCTGTAAGCAATGATTTGAAATATGCTATAATTACCATGCTGTCTGTGTCATTCAAGGAGAAAACAAAGCATCTGAGTAACATTATGAACTGTCAAACATTCATCCATGATTTCACCTCACACTGGCCATGACCACTCTGTTTCTTTTCTTTTCCCAGTAATAGACCTGCCAGCCTGGTCTGAAAAGAACAGGAAACTCAGAAAGCATGAATGCTGGATTCATAATTAGTTTCTTCACTACAATCCAGACAAAACCTAGAAGCTTGTATTTTAATTGGCTCGATAAGGTATTTGAAAACAACATTTCTAATGAGATTATTTTTCCATATTTAGAAATAATGAGATCGAAAAAAGTAACAGTTACATTTGAAAGTATCTTAATGTGTGGTATTGGGAGTTTAGAAAACTATTATCTATTTAGCATAAGTCAACTTGACATTCTGTGCTACTTAGATTTTTCTTCAGGTAAAAAGTGGTTAGAGGCTTGGGCACAAAGTGTTTCACCAACACAATGGAGACGTGTAAATGCTTATGTCCCTTTGCTATGGTGGCCCTAACAACAATCCACAACAGAATTCATTGTCTCTCAGTTATGAAAGCTAGAAATCCAAGATCCAGGTGTTGGCAGGTAAGCTCCTTTTCCAGGTCTTTCTCCCTGGATTATAGATGGCTAACTTCTTGTGTCTCTTCATGTCATCTCCCCTCTGTGCACATCTGCCTCTGTGTCCAAATTTCCCCTTTTCATAGGACACCTGTCAGAGTGGATCAGTGCCCACCCTAATGGCTCATTTTACTTGATTGCTTCTGTAAGAACTTATCTCCAATTAAGGTCGCATTCTATGACATTGGGGTTTAGATAACAACATATCTTTTTTTGGGGGGGAAGATAATTAAGTTCATAAAAATAGTTAATATGATCTTTTGGGGAGATTAAATTAATGGTTTCATTTTCATCCATTTTCTTGTTATCTTCTGTCAACTGTCCCAGATAACAAGATGAAACAAAACCAAATCAAAAATTCATTGACAGAAAATAAAAGAAATGAATCAGAGATACATTGTCCTAGAGTTCCATTACAGTGAGTTGGTGATGTTTGTCCAAATCCTTAGGGACAAACACATCAATACTAATCTTGTAGACCTACCCCATTATTGTCTCAGTAAGATGACCAGGGAACGTATCTACATGCTTACCCATCCTACATCACCCATGGCCATGATGATTCACTTTTTTTTTTAATTCCAGTAGAATGGAATCTTCAGTTTCTACCTTTAAATTTCTCTTTCACTGACATTCTTAGGCACTCTAAGAACATTTCATCTTGAGCAAAATACCTTCCTCTCCAAAGCTGAAGGACAGAATGATGCTTCAGTGCATAAAATTAAGATTGCCTCTGAGAAAGTCTATAGAGACAGACTCACACCCACTGACTTACACTTACAAAAGTTTTTTTTGTGGTTTTTTGTTTTGTTTTGTTTTGTTTTTTGCCAAGAAGCAAAAACCTTACTACAGTTTGCCATGGTGGAGGCTCAAATAGAACATTTCCTGCCCCTGTGCATCATCCTGACAACTCAGATAATGAACTTTCTTCTAAAGAAACAACTGAATATATATAAAAAGATGTCCATTCAAGAATTATTCCTAATAGCAAAACTTTAAATGTGTATTAAAATCAATTAGTAAGGATATGATATATTTACTCAAAGATTTTGTAGTTATCAAAGTATTAAGCATAAATATGTTGTATCCTGTTCTTGTGATCCTACAGCAAAGCACACTGGCAATGACTTCATGCATACCCATGAGCTTTTGATCAGATTTTGAGTGTCCTCCTCAAAATAAGGTAACTGAGAAAAGTTCCTCCCACAAATGACAAAGCAAAAACAAAAGGTAAAGAAAAGCTACTCGGAGGAAAAATACTATAGAAGAAGAAAACTTCAAATAAAAGATATCACTTATATATTTAATGAGATATAGAAAGATAATACATCCATGAAATAAGAACAAATATTATTTGTTTTTAAATTTTTAGAGAAAAAAAATTAGAGTTCAAAAAGTTTGAAACTAAATCAAATGTAGAATAAATAATAAATCCAATGATTTGGATGAAAGAATATGAAAATCTCCAAAAAGTAAAGCTAAGTACCTAATTGTTATAAATTTCAGATCTTTTAACCAAGAGGAATATAAATGGAAGGAGAAGAGAAATACGTAATTCCCCTATTTCAAGTGAAATATAGGATGATTAATGAAAATCAGTGACAATAAATAGAGAATCATGTTAAATTATGTGGCTTGTTGCCTACTCCTTAATCAATGCTATGTCTTAGTTCTCTACTAAAAGATTCTGCCATCCACAACTGCAGACCCAGAATTTTACATAACATCTTCTAAGTTTCAAAGAATCACTACTTTTAATATTCTCTATTTAAAAAGCTCCTTCACTCAGACAAATAGCAATTTATTTTCACTGAGAATTTTTCTGACAGGTTTAAAGTTAATTATTTTGTCCAAAACAAAGATAGATTCTAGTGCTTTATCAATTTCACAAAACCATGGACCATTCTCCATCAAAACAAAACACCAAAAAGCTTAACCCACAGCAAAATTGGAGAGTCACAAAATAAAGTTTAAACCTTAATTATTTTAAATAGCTCTTGACTATAAAACTAAATAATTTCCGCAAAATCCAATCCTACAAATTTGACCTTTGGGAGTTTTTGTTTTCAAATTAACTATTTCAAAATTTTAAATTTCATAAATCCTAACAGAGATTCTCAATTCAATGTGCCAGTTATGACAAAATAGTCCAGTACTGATAATTGTTTTGAAATGTGTTCTGCTGATAACCTCTTCAACAAGTTCCCAATATAATCTGAGCACTATTTGCATTAGGTACATGCAGAAATTGAGAAGCAAAGCAACTTCTCTACCCAGGCAGTGAACTTTGCATAATTTCATTATTAAAGGACTCTCTGTGACTAAGATGCCACAGATGCAGAGGACAGAGGAAGGGGGAACAAATAAACGGAAACTTGGACTCTGCAAGCAATGACAGAGCTTAAGAGGGCCAGGAGTCCTTTCCCATTTGCTATCAGGAGACGCTCATTTGAATATTTATCCCATCCTGGGCTCCATGGGCAAGTAGAGATGTTGGAGGGAGTTGGGAGGTGAGCACTGAGGATGATTAGAGGGTTGGACTAAGAAAGAAATGAACAGATTGCTAAACTTGGAAAAAGAGAGAGCTCTATTTTAAAAAGGCTTCCGAGTAATGGGACCAATTAATAGACAAAAATAGAATCTCAGCTGCTTTTCATTCCCACTGTGAACAGAATAAGAGAAAACAGGTGGAACTAAATATGAGGGTTAAGGCTGCCAACCGTTTAGCAAGTCAGGAGCAGTGTGTGTTAGCAACCAGTTGTGATATTTCAGTCCTCACGATCTGTAAAGTAGGGCAGTGGTGAGGTAAAATGGTTACCGCCAGGAGACTGCAAAGCAAATGTGTGTTGGAGTCCAGGAGGAAATATTCCTAAAGGCACCGGGCATAAGTCCCCATTTTCAGACTGGTACAGTCGGTAAATTGTCTGGGAGTGGATGTGTAAATTAGAGTATCCCTGGGGCTGGAGTGCTGGGGTTTGAATCCTGACTCTTCCATTCACTAGTGTGGTGTCCTTAGACCAGGCATTTAACATATCTGTTCTTCCATCTCCGTGTCTGTGAAAAGAAGAGAATCCTCCTTGTGGAGTTGTTGAGAAAATTGATGATTTCAATTCCGTGTGTGCATTCCGTGTGTTTATCACTATTATTCCTCGGTCAGAAGAAGAGGAATAATAGTGAGTTGGATGACAATATTTCGGGTAAGAATTAATTTACCTAGCTTCAACATTTTAATGTCTAGAATTCTCGATTAGATAGCACTTGCATCAAGTACACTGAATGCAGATACTTTCCTTATGATCATGCTGAGAGAGACACCGTGAGACCCTCAGGTATGAATGACACAAAATATATTCACATTCATCAAATATTTAGAATTTAGAATGTGCAAATTATGTTTATCTTGTACAATAATTCTGCCTTCAGAAGATACTTATATTAACCATAACACGTTAGCTTCTAGTCACAACATATAATAAGACCACTTAATACATAATATCCATCATTCATTCATTCGTATGTCAATCAAAGGCTGACTATGGATCCAGAGATCTTTGGCTAATGTGTGTTTCCCTTTGCTGGTTTGTGATTTGGGGCAGGTTGCTTAACGAGCCATGAAAATTGGCTACAGAAAAACAATGCCCAATATAAAAGGAGGCTTTATTGATTTTGAAAAGTCTTTTTATGTCTTATTTATTTAAAAAAGCACAACAATCTGTAAATGATTATAATCTAAAATGAAAGATTATAATCAAAATTGCTATGTTGGGATATTTAGGATTTTAGTAAAAGATAATACAAAGCAAATTCCTTTTGTCTGTCAGTTTGATGGGTAATTATGTCAGTTGTTCCATCCAGATTTAACACAAATAAATCATGTTTTATTGTGAACCTATTCTGAACACAGAAATGCTTTACTCATTCCTTTACAGTAATGGCCAAAAAGCTGATCCACTGATATATACAAACACACATGATTCTCTATTGCAATTTTCCTTTTATAATTATGTGAAAAACTAAGTTTCAGAAAAGTTTCTTATAATATGATTTTGCAAGAATATTAGATAATTATTAGTAATTTCTGTAGACTGACGATCTGAATAAAGGCTAAGATATCCAGGGCCTTTAATTTTAAGCAAAAACAGTCCTCGATTTCTTTTTCCTTTCGGTTTTATTAAGATATAACTGACATACAAAAAAAATGGCACATACATACTGTACACAATTTAATGAGCTCAAATATATGCATACACCATCACCACGATCACAACAATACACATATCTATAACCTCTAAAAGAGTCCTGTGTTCCTTTACTGCTTTTTCAAATTTTTGTTTTGTGTTTTTTAGCTTTGATTTGTATTACATTATTTTAACTGATATATAAAACCATAAAAATTGTACCTATAAATGGAGTACCATGTGATGTTTCAATACATATATACATTATCTAATGTGTAAACATATCTATCTCCTCATTTATCTTTTCTCTGTGGAGAAAAATGTTCAAAATCCTTTCATCTAACTTTATTATTGTTATCTATGTTTATTGTTATCTGTAGACACCATGCTATGCAGTAGCACACCAGAACCTCTTACTCCTGTTTGCTGTGGTAAGAACACTTAACATGCAATTCACTCTTCTAACAAAATTTTAAGTGTTAACTCCAGGCACAGTGCTATACAGCAGAAATCTAGAACTTATCTGTGTAACTGGGACTTTGTACCCTTTGAGCAGTACCCCATTTCCCCCTCCCACACTCCTGGCAATCACCATTCTATTTTCTGCTTGTATGAGTCTGGCGATTTTAGGTATCTCATATAAATGGGATCACACAGCATTTGTCTTTTTGTAACAGGCTTGCTTCACTTAACATAGTGTCTCCCGAGTCCATCCACATTATCACAAGAGGCAGGATTTCCTTTTTTTTTTAAGGTTGAATAATATTTCTTTGTATGTATTTATCGTATTCTCTTTACCTGTCAATGAATACTTGGGTGTATTTTTGCTTCAGCTATTGTAAATAATACTGCAATGAATGTGGACGTGCATGTTTGTGCCTCTCTCCAAGGTCCTGATTTCAATTCCTATGGATGTATGCTCTGGTGAGGAATTGCTGGATTTGAATTCTGTTATTGGACCAAAGTGGTGGAGACAAGCTGCATCAGCAACAGATAACACTTTGTGAGTGGAGGGGAACTGTGTCCTTGTGTGTCTGAGGTCAGATCTTTCCTTAAACAATATACAGTAGGCAGAAACCTGGGAGGTGTTCTACTTACATACCTTAACTGCGAAACTACTAAAGGTGAACATTTAAAATAATTAATAGATAAGTTCCTAACTTTCATTAATAGATAAGTTCCTAACTTTTCATTAATGCTTTCATCCAACTGTATAAGGTCAGTGAGATGGAGACTTTTTTATATTGATGATGGCCATTTTGTCAAACAGGAAAGATTGCTTAAGAATGAAGCTTACAGAGAAAGTTGAACCAAGAACAGACTCCTGAACACTCCATCTTAGTCCCTAAATCTGATAGTACCTGAAATCCCCTTTACTTTTCAATTACCTATGCCAAGAGACTTGAACCAACTATGCATATTCATTCTACAGAATATTATGCAATGTTTTACAAACAAAGAGTTAGAGGTACACATATTGAAAAGGATTAGAAACATTTTTCCTCAAAGGGCCATATATTAAATATTTTTACCTCCTTATGAAAAGGTTTCCATTGCAACCATTCAACTCTACTTTTGCAGGGTGACATTGCCATAGACGATTCATTTAGCCCAGCCCTTTGGGGCCTATAAACTGTGGTTTACCTGTATGTGACTTATGTCCATGATACATCATTAAATGAAAAATTACACTATTTTTAATCAAGGAAATAAGTTAAAGAAAATTCTGTGTGTAAGAATATATGAAAATATAGTGAAACAATGGCATCATATATACTTAGCTATTATTGCTGATTATCTTGTAAGAGATGATTTTAGTGAAAGATTGAGGAGAAATTTTTAACTCTGGACCTTTTTCTTTCTACACATCTCTGTTTTGATTTATCGTATGAGAATGCATTACTTTTTTATTTAAAAAATATCTAAGGACCTAAAAGAAAAAGGGAAGTGCTAAGCATCTTTAAAGAAACCTGATCCCTGTTTTAACAATTTTGCATCAATATCTGGCAAGAAATAGGTGAAGTCTTGAATTCTCAACCTGCCCCCACCTTTCAGAAGATAGAGTCCTCTCTCAGTTTAACAGACCCATTTACTCATTTTATAGATAAGGCCTAAGAAAGTCCTGTGCCTTGCTAAAAGTCAGAGAGCTAATTAGTGGTGCAGCCTCACCCTCCGATTCCCAGTCTGATCTTTTTTTTCGTCCCATATCACAAATCCATAGATGCCGTTTCCCTTTCTTATTGGAGATTAATGCACAGAAAATAGATGCCTCTCCAAACATAACATCATGAATATGTTTATAGCATCCAGCCCCAAGCAGCTTCTGCCTTCAAAGATTTTTACACCACCGTCAGATTTTCTCTTCTGTAAATTGTTAGCACTATTTTTAGGAGCCCTTTTCTCTGGCAGATGCAGGCGCTCTCGCGTTTGAGCCCTGTCATCTCTTCGGTGTGTGTTTAGTAGTTTCAGCGCTCGGCTCACTGTTTGCATATCATGACACCGAGCAGAGTTCAGCAATACAGAACGTCTTATCCATTTCCTCTTAATCCATTTTAAATTCATCCTGAGCCCATCAGAGCAGGAGATGGAATGAGAGTTTTATAATTACCTTTTGCAAACAGAACATTAAATTATTATACAGTGGAATCCTCTGGTTTTCTTGGACATAAGACAGCCTTAACTTGCCAAGGAACGGATCCGCCTGTCTCTATAAGTACACATATGTACTTTGGAAATCAGTCCTGTTAGCCCGAAGTTATTGATCGATTTTGGTAGATTACTGCAATAGATTCTTAAAGTGCTTTAAGATTAAGAGATGTGCTTGGCTTTCTTCTGTCATGTATCTCAAAGGAAAACCATGAGATGAGACACAATGAAAAACAGCAGGTAATACCATATGAGACTCCTTATTAAAAACATAAAGTGCCTTTCACTCCTGCTTTTATTAAGTCTACTTTTCAAGCTAAATGGGGGTTAGGTGAGGCGATTATAATACAAGTCACATCTAACTATTTCATTATCCATGTCCTACAGCAAGATAGCCCCCAGAATACCTTTGAAAGCTCCAGAGTGATGGCAGCAGGTTGAATATAATGAACAATGTTACAAATGGGGACATGAGACAGCAGGTCTGGTGGGGATGGAATCTCCCAGAAACTGCACAGCTGTAATTACTGAACAACCGCTTGGTCTCAGTTGACTTTGAACACTCGTAACCATCTTTGGCGTATTATATTTTTCTCAGCTAGTTAAAATGAAGCCAGTCAGAAGAACTGAAATTTATAAGGCATAATACATACGCAAAGCCATTGTCTGCTTCCATTACTCTAATTTTTGTCTGGTTTCCAAGCTCATTCCACTATGTACTGTACAACTGAATTAAAATTGGGTTGAGAAATAGCTTTGTATTATTATTATTATGTCTGAGGGCTGAATGGCTACAAGTTACATTTTAAAAGATTGAGCAGTATAATTTTTGGTGAGGGGAAACGAAGTAGACATGGAATTCTAGCCTTATGTGTCAGCACTTTTTCCTAAATATTTTATTTGAAATGATCACTAAATTAAAGGTGGGATGAAGGGAAGTGAATGAAGAAAGATAAGGAGAGACTGAGAAGGGGGAAAAATACAAATGGCAGTTTGAAACCAGCATACCCAGTTCCATTTTCTGGATTCACCTTATGCCTTGAACCCCAAACTACAAGAAAAAAATGAAAACTGCTAAGAATGCCCACTTGAATTCCTAATCCAAATGTTAGGGGACAAAGGAGTTAGTACAAATTTATCCAACAACTTGATTGAACTCTGGTGGCTGCATCAGCCAGAATTCAGCTGAGCATATACCTGTTTTCTTGCCTGGAACTATCTGGGTAAAATTCAACTCAGTTCACTTCAGAGAACTCAGCAGAGGCAGGCCTACGTCCAGCAGGGCACGTGCAGGACTCTGGCAAAGCATGAAACAGCCTCTACCTGTACTGCCCAGTCTCCATTTCTTTCTCCCTAGTAACAAAGGGAATCTGATTCAAGGGAAAACCACAGCCATGTTTGACTGAGAAAGGAAAGAGAGCTATGTCCCAAAAGCACAACCTGAAGGGGATTCATGGAAGAGGATGACGGGGCACGTTGAGAGACAGCAGGCCCTGGGCCTCCAGACACACCAGGCTGTGAGCAGGATATGAACTGTCAGCTGAGAAGGCAGATCACCATCTCCATTCCTCATCTTGACTTTAGCATCCCCTCCTAGTGTCATCTCCACCTTTTCCCTCACCTGCTGTCCTCTCAGTTACTGCCCACCAGCTACAAGACCTGAGGTCCAAGGCAAGGGTGCAATGTGCCGCACCCTAGTAAGGCATTCCTACCTCTATAGTTACAGGGTGGCACCTCTGCTGCCCCATATTGACCAAAGGGACAGTGACAAGTTAGCAGGAGACCATCAGCCTCATTCTCTTTGGCTTGGTCTCACAGGCAGTGTCAGTGCCCTCAGCCCATCCCAGATGTCACCTGCAAACTCTCTCCACACAGGCCTACAACTTTCTCCATCTCTTCCTGAGCATATTTTTCTAGCTGAGGAAGCAGGCTCAGCATGGACTCAGAGAAGGCTGAACCTCTCAAGAGGACTCTCACATAATGAGAGGCAGAAATCAGCAGCTCAGATGGCCAGCTTCCTCGCCTCCCCAGGGGAGAAGGTCTGAGCATGTTCTGCAGTCCTTCAGAAGGTACCCTATGGGACTGGGTCCCAGGTGCCCCAAAGAGCAAAGCTTTGTTGGCTTTCCTCTATTACTTCATGATTTTCCTGGGAGCACCTCCTAAAGAAACTGCTTAACTCAAACCAGTATCTCCAGGTCTACTTTTAGAAGAATGTCCTCTAAAACCTTAGCATTACAGCTGTGACCACCCAAACCAGAATAGCTATAGACTCCAAGGAATCTCCTCTGGTCTCCCAGAGAAGCAAAAGATTCCCTTATCTTAGTTAATTACTACTTCTCCCAGGACAAGGCCAATCATTCTATCCGACCAGATATGGTGGAACTACAGCTAGGACAGGTGGTAAAATGGGTTATAGTAACAGTCTCTGGTGGCATGTTTCTGCATCCCATTCACCAGACTTGACAAACTGCCTGGAAGTTGTCCCTTCAAGAAGCATAAGAGGTTGATAAACATGTGGCCAAAGCACAAAGCCAGAGCCAACAACCACAGTCGAAGGAGAGAGCATGAAGTGTGCAGCTGGACGTGCACTAGGAGTACATTGGGAGAGCCTTGACCACCAGAGTCAATTCATGAACTAGAATTAGACCCAGACCATCCAAAGGATTCACTGCCCTTAAAGTCTGGGCAGGCTCAAGGTGTCATGCAGAGTCCTTGTAAGTTACAGATTAATGGCACAGTCCCTGACTTCATAGAACTTCTGTATATTGGGTAAAGCAATATTAATCAAAGTCTCACTAATAAATATTACATGGCAGTGGTGGGAGATGCTTTGAAGAACAGCAAGGAAAGTGCTTAAACAGACATGTCAAAAAAAAAAAAAAAGAATAGGTGAGATGGAGCAGGTGATGCTTGAATTAAATTCTGAAGGAAAAGTGGACATTAAGGAAGTGAATCAGTAGAACCAGAATGAGGCAGGGGGTTGGCAAAAGGGCCTTGCAGGTAGCATAAACTGCATGTACAAGGGTCCTACAGCTGGAAAGAGCCATAGGAAATCACTAAAGTGCTAAGAAGTGGTTGGATAATGGAGGGAGTGGGATAAAGACGTAACCTAATCAAATCTGTGTTTAAAGACCACTCTAACTGAAGTATGAAAAACAGCTTGAAAGAGAGAAAGAAGGTATATGGACAAAAGCAGTGAGTGATCTACTGCAGTGACCTGGAAAAGAAATGCTTTATGGCCTGAAGTAAGGAAAAGACAATAGAGAAAGAGTGAAGGAAGCAGTCAGCTATGAGGATTGAAGGAAAGGAGATGGAAAGTTTTCTGGATTGCCTAACTGAATAGATTGTGGAGTTACT